GACGAGAAAGCAAAAATCACCTAAAAGAAGTTACTCTTTTCGTTCCTAAATATCTGTAATTTAAAAATTTTACACAAAAATTAAAGAAGCTATTAAATAACTGTATTATGAGTAAAAAATAATTTTACAAGATTAAAATACTTTTATGCACAAATCAAGCCGTTCCCATAGCCAGAGTTGTTCTCAACACAGATGGATTTTGAATGCCAATTTACAATCGGTAACATTTACAATATTTATTAACCCCAAAAGATCAACAACACAGAAAGCATTAATTATGATTGGCTTCCTTCTCTCTCTCATTTTTTTCCCCACCACTGCTGCTTTTCTCGCAATACCCAATCAACTGCACTGAAGAAAGAGGAGTATATATCGAATACAACGATGATACCATGTCATCATTGATGATATGATATCACCAACCAATAATAAAACCCCAACTAAAAAAGATGAACCTCACTTAGACTTACATGACAGAAGGGTGAGAAGTTATTTACTTGCATGACATGTTAGTTATTGATTTTTGTTGAGTCTATCTGCTTATTTGTTTTAGTACTATAGGTTGATGATATCATATCACCTTGTCACGTGATATCACCATTGTAAATGAATATTTTCTATGGGATGAGAGGCGAATGAGAGGGAAAATTGGCACCCCAACTGTACATAAATGTTGATATGCCAAAAATACCCTCTATCGGTTGTCATGTGTAGGTCATGTGTTGGGTTTTATCCCTACTTAATGCTTGAATTTAACAAAATGTGTTGATTAAAATGATTTAAATAGTTCAAGGGTAAACTAAAAAAATTGAAAGTTGAGGAGAGAATTTAAAACAAAGACTAAAATTCAAGGGCCATTTATGTAATTTACCTTTTTTTTTTGTCCGAGGAGTTTGCATATTCACTATCAAAGAATTCAATGAACCCTGCCCAAAAAAACAAAAAGAAAGAATTCAATAAGCCAGTGCTTGTCAGTAGCCCGACTTATTCTTTGTTGACGGATGGTGGGCTCTCCACGGTGATTTTGAAGCCCAATGGGGCGACTAGTAACTTCTTCTCGTCTTCATTGGGTCGGTGGAAGAACCGTGGCTCAAATACCGATCGATCCCTATTTTGGCTTTCAAAACCATCGCCACGATGTCTGATCGATACATCTATTTACTTCTCGCTCTCTCTGAATATATAGTTGCATGTGTATGTATATGGTGAGATTTGTGATATGTGTTTGTTTGATTGGTGAGAAAGTCTGGGAAAATGGAAGGAAAGTGAATGAGGTAAAATTTAGGATCTTGAATACTGTATTGTATTTGGGCACGGGCACGGGAAAAATGGGACTTTTTACTGGACTTAGACTGGGGTTGAGCTGTGTTTTGAGCTTCTCTTTTTCTTTTTCAGATATTTGGAGAGTAATAGATGTCAGATTTTCTTCTCTGTTGGTTTTGTGACAATCCCTGATGGCAGTAGCTATTTACTTGAATAAACAATTGAGCGATGAAATTACATTTGGGTGAAAGGCAGTTGATCAATTTGTTCTTTCACTTCATGTGGTGAAGGATATTCAACCCTCAACAGTGGGAAAGTCTGGTTCTAGAATTGTGTCGTCAGCTGATATTGCTTAAATTTCAATGGTGATAGGATTGACATTGTGGTCAAAACATGTAAATGCTTGTGAAGCCTACTTAAACGGATAGTAGTTAGTCCACCACCTTAGTGCCCAGATTCCGACTCCAACAGACAACCTAGGTCAAGAGCATACTGCTTATATTTTGCACCTCATGGCATGGCAAATTGATGAAAATTGGGAAATCCTTCCATGACGTTGTTGCAAACGTGGTTGTTAATATCATAAAATCCGTATCGTACAATACATCTTGGCACAAAAGAAAAACGTATTGATAATGACATCGTAGTTGCCCTTAATAAAGATCTACTGCCTATATTTACAAGTTCTTGCATATCATTGAAAACAATGCAACAAAAAAATCTACTCGTAAGGATAAAGCTTATTAACAGTGAATCAGCAACCACTACAGCAAATGCACCAAATTAGGTTAGATGTTTCAGTCCAAATAGCATTATTCAATTAAATATAGGTGGTAGAAGGGTTAGGGACGGTGTATGTATTTGCTTGATTGTGCATCTTTTAGAAGTAAGAAACATAGACACTCTTAAGAATGTGACATACCCATGTTGGACATATATCGGCCACTAACATTTCTTTGGACACATGTTTAATAATCTTTTATTTATATTCATAGTTAAGAAAATAGAATCTTCACTGCGGGCACGTGTGTTTAATACTTGTTTAGGTCAGGTATTTGACTGAAAAATAAACATTTGTCGAAATATAATCAACAAAGCTGAAAAATTTGTCTATGGGTGTTAAAGTGTTTTTACTTAAAACTTCCTATTATAGACAAAAAGGTGCATAAAGTAAGAAGACCTGAGAAGAGAGCTATCCTTGTATTTAGGTATGTTTATTGCACTATGTTTATTAGTCTTAATATTCTCATTATGTGTACTAGACTTAAAACTTACTTATCACAATGCATTGATTTTCATATTTTGTCCAATACTATTATTCATATATATATATATATATATACAAAACACAATAGTTTATGGTGTGTTCTAGCCGTTTCAGTGCCCTACTTTTCTCAAAATTTGTCATGTCAACATGTCTGTGTCATATCCCACATGTATCTAACGTCGATGTATGTGTATCGTAGTTTTGAAGTATGTGGTGTAAAAAGGAGGAACAAAAGGCCGTCATATGATGCAATACCTGGTGATCTGAATCATCTTTATTTTGTGCACAAGAAATTTGTGATAAAAAACAAGTTTTTCCAATTTTTGGAGGAAAGAAATTTTACAAATTACATTTACTTAGCTGTTGTTCTAGATGCTTATTCAGGACTTCCAGCATCACAGCGGCGCTGTAAGTTTCCTAATGGATCTTCAACTTCAAATTGTTGCTTCTATTTTTTTAATTCCTCAAAAAAAATTCCTAAAAATATATTCTTTGTTTGTGACCAGCTCTTGTGTTACTGAATGCAAACTGTCCCATAACTTGTGCCTCTTTTATTGACTGTCTTAAGAGATTACTATCGAATAGAAGGGTTTTGTGCATGTTAATTCGCTCACAAAGTGCCACATAATAGTTGGAATTCATGAATTTTTAGGTGGAATATGAGCAACATTTCGTACCTCATTTTATTTATATATGTCTTGCTCTTCATCCACTGACATGAATCTTTTCTTCTAGAGGTGATTTTTTTTTTTTTTTGAATCCCAGGCTGATCAACCAAAACAGGTAAAGCTGCTCAAGATGCTGTCAAAAAGTCAGAAGAGTTTGATCCAAGCATTTCTGTCAGATCCGACTGACAAATTCTAAAATTATATGGAAGCCTCTTGCTCCATAATTGCTTCATTGATGTAAGTTTTTACTCTTCTCTTCAATTCAAAATTTATTCCAGTTGATTTTTGTTTAGTTCTTCATTTTTTGTTGCTTCACTTATATGCTTCTGTTCTTGGTTCTGGATTTATTTGTTAGGAAGTTCTCTTTACCCTGGTTTTGCTTGGAGTTTGGGCCTTTTTTTTTTTTTTTGTGGATTTGTGCAATTTCTCTTTTTCTTTGTATTTTTTTTTTTGTCAGTTTGTGGCTTATCTTTGATTAAATCATGTTCAGATGGTTCTCTTATTGACTTCAAGCTTTTAACCATTTGGTTTTTGTCATTTTAAATTGCATTTTTGGATATTCTTGCTTTGTTTTTATTTCTGGGTCCTGACTTTCTTTATTTCAAATAGGTCTGAACTTTGATCATTTCTCTAATTTTTCATTTTTTTGTGGTTAAGGTATGATCTGAGTATTTAACTCTTTTGTTCTAGACAACTCTTTGCTATATTTGTCTAACAATGATGTGGGTATAGGAGTGTTGCCACTTCATTTTCCATTTTGGAGAGTCGATCCCTAAAAATTTATCTCTAGTAAGCTGTCTATTAAGACTAGATAAAATATGGGTTACACTCCCCTCTAATAACAAAATAATTTAAGGATCTTTCAATTGTATCATGTTGCAACAATCTATTTTTCTTTGCTCTTAGATTTGATAGATATATTAGTATACTAGCTAATGTTCATACCTGAAGACACTATCTAACTCTAAAAAAATCATCAATCAAAAACATATGTGCTATATTTGGTTCACAATAACTTATATTCTACAAATAAACAGAGAAGTCACAAAATAGGATAGATAAAAATTTCCTGAACTTAAAATTTTAACTTATGAAGTAAATTTACTCCAGCCATCCAATGCAATAATGCAATCCAATGCAACGAAAACAAATACTTAATAGCCAACTACCAATAAACATATAGTTTCAAGCAATAAAAATAACAACATAAATGACTCCTGATAGAAAAATAAGATCATAGTTAATACCAAAAGTGTCCAAGGGGATTCAAATCTTTACAATATTAAGTCATCTGAATTCCATTAAGTTAGATTCATCCACCATTAAAGTATCAGAAAAAAACTCTAATCTGTTAACAGCATGAGTAACTTCGTCCAAACCTCACATTCTTCATTGCAAGTTAGTAGGGGTGTATATGCTCATCCGCAGTGAGCCACTTATGGTCAAAATCTTCCATCATCAATCAAAAGTCTGATAAAGCAATAACTTGACATGCCACGAAGACTTGCGTAAAACTAAACTTCTTAGTAGATGACGGTGGTCTTTCTCTGGAAAGAGGCATGGCGTGGCAGTATACTTTTTGAGATCTGAAAACAACAGAATTACTAATGAATTCAATCAAAAAAATCCATAGAGAATAAAAATTTGCATAAGCAAACAACTTCATACTACATTGGTAAAAAGTATAATAAGCATACAAAATCCAAATCTCATATAATAGAACAAACATTAAAAAACCCATAGAACTTATAGAAACCCACTAAAACAATAAATAAGAAACCCACAGACATCAATTGACAAACCTACAAAGAGAAGAATATCGCTGTCACTGGTATGCGCGTGGTGTGGTGTGGAGGAAGTGAGATTTTAAGGATGGCAATAGGGTGAAACCGAGAGGGCAAGAGAGAACACTCCCTATTATCACCTACACCATTCATTCCTCCTCCTCTTATCCTTCACAGAAATAGGAAACCATTAATTTTAGTAGCAATAAAATAAATTGAAACAATTTTTTTTTAAATCAATCGTTAAACTAAAAATTTAAAGAAATCAGTTACTTATTAATAGTGTAGTAATAATTCATACTTGTTTCATTTCACTGCTCAATGGTGTATCAACTGATCACTTGTCTCTTTTCTGAGGCCAATGTTTTCAATCTCTTCCCACCCAATATACAAATGGAGGTTCTTTAAAGGTCTCTTGCTGCAATGCCAACAATATGCTTTGATTGATCTAAAGATGAAAATCTAATATTTAATCCCATCAATGGATCACAATACAATGGAGAAGTAAAAAAATCTATTTATCCTAGCATATCAAGCAAACATAATATGGATTAAAAAAATAGATTAAAGACCAAAAAATTCTAAAAACTGAAACATCATACAACATATAAAGGCCGATTCATAAAGAATGAAGCACTAAGACGATTATCTCTTACTAAGGCTTTTTGGATCCAACTGCAAGCCCATCCATAGAGCATGCGAGTGACAACACTAAGCAAAATTTATTTAAGAACAAAATTTGAAATGAAGCAAGCTGACTAAGTGAATCAAAGCCCTTACCTTCGAAATCTCATGGAGCGACCACTGAGATACCAAAGCATGAACCTTTATTTGACAAAGTCACTTGATTATGGGTCTCAATTGTTGCCTTACCAAACCATAAAACAATCGACAGAAAGGGAGCCTAAATAATCATTGAGACATTTCATCAAACACAACCAACGAGGAAAATAATAAAATTTCGTGGGGCTGTGGCATTGGTTGTGGGAAGGAGGAAGGGTGTGATGGGGTAGTGGCGATGGGCGAAGACTGTGGTGGTGATTGTGGCAGTGCTGTGAGAGGAGGAAAGAGAGTTATGGTTGTGGTGGGAGATGATCATGGCAGTGCATGGCGGTGGAGAGAGGGAGGGAGAAATACAAAGTGAGGGAGACAAAAAGGGAGAGAAAATAACCTGTTCGCTAAAGTAAAGCTGAGGGCATGGGCTAGTTGTGCGATAGAAAGAGAGAGCAAATAGTCACTGAGGAGATGAGAGCAGAAAGACAGATGGAGAGGGAGAAAATGAAGAAAGTACGAGGAACAAACTGATATAGTTAGGATGTGAAATGTGGGTGGAGAGGGAAGACATACCCAAAGATGAGTGAGCAGTAGCGGGATGCATAGGGAAAGAATAGGAATGACGAGAGAGAGAATGAGAGAGAGAGAAAAAGCAATGGTTTTACAGAGTATGAAAAGAGAGGGGGGAGATATAGGGAAGAGATTGGGGTTTGAATTGGACGACATTAGGGCAAGATTGGGGGAAAATATATTTTAATGTCTGGTATGGAAAGGATATCAGAGGAGATCGCATGGTGTTGAGGGATATTGTGTGTGGGTTCATTGCGAGAGAGAGAGAGAGAGAGAGAGAGAGAGAGAGAGAGAGAGCAAGTTCAATGTTAGAAGCAGAATAAAGACCAATTGGGAAAGGGGCGGGATATTAGGGGAATTTATTTTGGAAATTAAATTTAAGGATGTCAATTTTAGAAACTAAAAATGTTGAGCAAGAAATTCTTTTTAAAAGTTAATGTGGTACGTCAAATTAGAACAATCTGAGACGTCAACATCTCAAAACAGTTTGAGATAACGTAGTCTGTCGGATGATGCCTTTTTTTTTATCACGAAAGGATCTGCACCACTCTTTATCTCTAAAATTTAAAATTGTTCTACTGTATTATATAGATTTTTTGGAGTATTATTCTACATAAGTGCTAAGCTAAATTTCACAATATTTGAAATCGGTTGAAAATAATCACATCTACTTTTGACAAACTTTAAAGCCATATTATCATTTAAAACTTTATTTTTAAAATTTATTCAAACATACATTAAAAGGTATTCCCCAAATATTCTCCAATCAATAGCATTCTTTCTTGCTCAACGGTTACAATTCTTCACAAAAGTAGTATTTAAATTCCAACTTACTACAATCATTACAAATCGCATAATCACACTCTTGACATTGGAAAAAGAGACGATGGAAAAAGATACGTTCACCAGAATCTCCACCACACTTAAAACACGTGCCCCTCTTCGACTTTTGAACAAACATGAGTGGGTGTGGATGCTCATTGACTTGAACGGTACTCCCAAACTGGACCTTTGAATATACATCATATATGCAGATAAGATGAGAAGATTTATCGCAAATACAACAATGATACATCCAAAGCTTTTGGTTTATTTCTATCTCACAAAATTCACAATGGAATTCATCCGCAAGATCATTGAAAGGGGGATAGGTAAGGGTGAAGGGATGCGGGTCCCATCTATGCTTGATGGTACGTGGAAGCGGAGCACATCCGTGGCATATGACAAACTTGCAAGTATTACATTTGAATTTGACACCACCCAAATGAGATGCACATCCACTGCACTTAATAACACGCGATTCGATTTGAAACAAGGGATGCTCGTGAGCTTCATGTGCAATTCTACCGGGCATGAAAGCACATCTGACATCAAGGCAGACATCGCATCCTTCATCTTCACAACACTTGTAGAAGAATCCGTTGGTGTATGAAAAACAGGCCTTGCACCGGTGAAGATGATAGAATTTATTGTCATAAATGAGTTGTAATCGGTGTGTGGGATGAATTATTGGGTGTCTCAACTCTCTTGGTAAGTTGGCACAATATAAGTGGAGAAAATAATTGCACTCTTCACAACTGTAGAATGGAATCGAAATTGCTTGAACGCAGCAATTGCATAATATTATGTCATCCATCATCTCATGGCTATTTTGAACATTGAAAAGGATTAATGGATGTTGCTCATGACTCCAATGAGTTATCTTTGTTTCTCCTCCTGTCTGTTCAATGATATTTTGTTCAACTAAATCTCTCATAAGAACTGTAGAACCATCAGCTGGAGGTAAGCTTAGATTAATAATGCCGAGAGGTTCACCCGGTTTATTCTCAGAAGTTACGCTGTCAAATTCAATCATGTTACTACTTTCATTGCTAGTTTTACAAACATTGAAAACATACAATTTAGGAGAAAAAATGCTACTTAATAAGAACAAAAGCAATGCAAAATTTTTTAGGGAAAGAGAGGATGAGGATATGAACAAGAGAAAAAGATTAAACTCACAGTGAAATTTGCTCTGAGGGTGCAGTTGCACACTTGACATGGGCAACAAATTTATAATCGCACAAGTCACATTTATAAGCCCAAGTATTTCGGATGAAGATCTCATGACATATGCTACACTTGTCCAACCTCTGAAATATCAGATCCTTAAATCTGTTCCGCTTGACGAGGGTGAGAGGGTGACGGTGTTCAATAGAATAGGCAGTGTTGGATAGCATTGCACAACTCTTATGGATACAAAACTGACAAGTGTTACATAGATACAAGAAGTCTTTATCTTCAGTGCCGCAAATATTGCAATAGAAAGAGGTTTCCATTGGGAGGAGGGTTAATGGGTGATGGTGACTTTCATGTGTAATCGTCACATTCGACTCCTCTAAGCAACATGAAAGGCAGATTCGAAATGTGCAAATGTTACAGCCATAGTTGAAATCACCACAATATTTTCTACAAACATCACATTGATCCGGTTTATCCCAACAACCCTTATCTTTGCTAAGGGATAGCACATGGGGCTGGTGTAAGAGGTTTTTAATCTCGTCGGGAAGTTCCGCACATCTTTTGTGAAGAAAGAAATTGCATTCTTCATCAGTGATCTCAGAAATAATAGTACAACTATATGCAGCACCTAAGATTGGTTTCAAACACCCGGCACAACAGGTAACTCGGCCTCCTTTTTCCTTTGACACTTCCATGGGGATCAGTGGATGCTCATGGCTGAAATGTTGAAGCTCCATCTCTGTCTCCTTGTGCACGTACATATGAGAGAGAGAGAGAGGAGTGACAGGTTTAGAAATTCTAACAACAAAAAAGAATGAAATAGGAACAAGAGAAGAGGCCAAAACAATGGTTATATTTTTAGATCTGTCTACAAACTAGATCCAAAGCAATAATCAAGATAATACCATAGTCATGTAATAACCAGATCCGACGCAATAACTGAGAGCAAAATACAAAAAGGTAAGTGAAAAAAACAAAAAATGAAGTTATCAGAAGCCAAATATGTGAAAGATGCCACCTTCAAATAGACCAGATATGTGGATTCCACTTCAAATATGTTTGGATCTAATCCAAATAGACCAGATATGTGGGTTCCACTTCAAATTTGTTGGATTTAATCCAAATAGACCAGATCCGTGGATTCCACCTTCAAATATGCGGACTTTTCGTTGGAGAAGACGAACTCAAGTTGCCGCAGAAGTCGGAGGTGAGGGCTTTTCGAGTGACGGGTTTTCTAGGATGGGTGGTTTCCAGGTGAGTGGTTTAGAGGGTCGTTTCTGAGTTTACGAGAAAGAAAGAAAAACATGGAAACATCCTTGGCGGCGATTACTAGTGGCGGGGGTAGTTTCTGGGATGGGAGGTTTTCGGGTGGGGCTTTGGAGGGCTGAGTTTGGGAGAGAGATGAAGAGAAATACGGAGGTGCTGGATTGCTGTAGCGATGGAGACAGGGAAGAGGGAGGGTGGGGGCTGCTTAGGGTAAGAAAAGAAAAACCAAAAGAAAAGAAAATAAAATAAAAGAATAGGAACAGAAAAAGAAGTGAAAAGTGCGTGGGGGCCGTTAGGTGAGGTGGAGACAGAAACGTAGAAAAGAAAAGGAAGGGGTCCACGCTTGAGAATGACGTTTATTATATAAATTATATAAATACTAATAATTACTCGTGTGCGAATACATAGAATAACAAAAAAAAATTATCAATTAAAATTTTACATAAAAGCGCAAATAGATTTTACTAAACAAAGGCCGCATTAACAACAGAGGTAAATTGAAAAACTGTCTACGCATATATTTAAAAAAAAAATTATTAACAACTTAGTCTAAATGACATGCCGTTAATTTGCTCGTCAATAACAATAACAATTAAAAACTATGAAAAAAAAAACAAAACAAAATAAATATCAAACAATCATACATTAAAATAGACTTGAATACATCACCAAACTCATGCTAATAGAGGACACGGTCAGAGAAATGGCTCTATATCTGTGTACATGTGAAATAGCAATTATAAATTCGTTATAGGGTTCGATAGAGAGTAAATCAATAAAAGGGATAAATACTTTTACCTAATATGTCTGGCATCCCAAAAAAAGGTTCTTGGGCAAGAAAGTCCTATGTTAATGTGCGGGCTTGATCCTGCACGATATATATAAAATATTGGGAACAGATCTCTCCCCTGGTGAACTTTGGGTGAGCCGATTGAGTGGCCAAACACACCGCTCGAAACAGCTTACGATCCTGGGAAAGGAGGATCGATCCTGTACGTGCGAAAGGTATTTCCTGGGATAAAAGAGAACAAGTTAGAAGGGCGCCGGAGTGTTTTCCGGCGTATCCCCTCCGACGGTCTAGTCAGTCTTTGAATGAGAGAGAGGAAGGAGAAAACACTGAGAAGGATATTTCGTAGTAGAGAGTTTTTGATTTCATACCCGTTTGCCTTTTTGGGAGGGGTATTTATACCTTAGAAGCTCATGATTGCTGTCAGTGTGGTCAGTAGGTGATCATCAGGCACTGGCAGCGTGTGTATTGATTTGACGAGGAATGTCTTCTCTAATTGACTGCTCGGGATCCCGAGCAATCAATGTTGAGTCGTCGGGACGCCGACGGTACAATATGCTCCTTTCAGGAATGATGTAATAAATGCTCCGTAATAGGAGCATTTATTGTCTTTCATATCCGAACCTTACCGCATTGAATGCGGTCTCGTCAACAGAAGGGTGCAATTAATTGTTTGCTTCCCAAAGCGCATGTCAGCAATAGCGTGCGGTTTGCCTGTTTTTGATGTGATATCATATGCCACGCGTCCGTCACGTATTGGCTATGACTTCTGTGTTCCAGCATGTTCTGACATTGCTTGTGTAAGACGAGGTCATGATGAATAGTCTAGACTGGCATAGGCTGATGTCCCGTACGTCAGTAACTTTATCCGGGAGTAGAGGAAGCGTCCAGGATGGAGTGACCCTCGGCGTCGAGGACAGGCTCACCTCGGGGGACCAAGGGGTGATGTGTTCCCGAGGTACATGGTGACCGAGGACACGTGTCGTATAATGCATCGAATATGTGATCCCATGAGAGGTACCTCGGGGGAGAGGACGCTTTTGCCGATGGTGTTTATAACCCGAGCAACATTTGTTCTAGAAATCCCCCCCAAGGACACGTGTCTTCATCATAGGCTTTTCAGAAGAGTCCCATCAACTGCCCCCCAGCCTTCGATCTTCTGACGCCGAGGACACGCGTTGTCAGGAGACGAAGGGTTTTCCAACTGCCATCCGTCCTTCATTATGGCCTCGAGCAGCTTTCCCCGTCTTGGGATGTCGTGCGCATTAAATGCGCCGTTTTGGTTCTCCCGCCCAATGATGACAGTTTCCCCCCTATATAAAGGGGGTTCTTCTCCGGTTTCCATTTGTTTTGCCATTCCGATTTCTGACCCAGAGTACGCCTTTTCTGATCTGCTTCGCCGGAGTTTCTGTTTCCTCAGCCATCATCGACAGCATCTTCTCTTAAAATCACAGTCAGTAAACCCATTGTTGACTCCTGGCCCTTCCGGTGCGAGTCGCTTTCAAAGTTTTTCCTGAAAAACTCCGTTTCCGACGTCTTCTGGTGAGTTTCACAACCTTCTTCTTTATCGTCCTCCTGGCCTTCTTGTTTTCCGATTTGAACGGTGGTGTCATCCGGTCGGTACGTCTTGATTTAAACCCTCGGGGAACTTCCTCAGGTTTTCAAGAGAGAACACCTCTTCCTCCCCTTTCTTTTTAGAGATGCCTCGTCGTCGCCCTGTTCCCGAGAATCCATCGGCTGGTCCCTCGGGGTCAGGGAAATACAAGGTGACGGGCGAGGCGCAGATCGATAGGTTCAGGGAGAAGTATGGCATCCCCCCGAGCGTGGACGTAGTGGGTTTTAACCCCTTGTTGAACTCTCCTACCTTCGGGGCCGCGGATGCCATGCCCTTCTATACCAAGGCCATCATAGAGGGTGGCATTAGGTTTCCTTTGCCCCCCCTGCTTCTTCAGTTCCTGTTTCGCTTCCGTCTCTTCCCCGGGCAATGCTGCCTCAACGTCTTTCGGATAATTATGGGGGTCCTAGAGCTCAATAGGCGCCTCGGGGTGAATATTGGGCTCAACGATCTCCTTTTCTGTTACTCCCTCCTAAGAGTCATGCCCCACCAACATTTCTACCTCAAAGCCAGGGACCCCTCTATGTACCTTGTAACCCATCTTCCTGACTCGGACAAGGGGTACAAGGACGACATCTTGATCTTCAAGGGATGTTGGGAGAGGGGTGTCGGTCCCGAGTACAATGACCTATTTTGCCCTCGGGAATGGAGAACGACAAGTACGTCGGTTCCTTTGGGTCTTTTTATTTGTTTCTTGGGACTTCTCATGTTTATGACAATCTTTTTTGTTTGTGCAGGTATTCCTTCTCGGGAAACAGCTCCACCCCCTCGGTCGCTGGTCAATTTTGCCGACTTAATAACGGTTTGGAGTTTCACGGGCGCCGACGGATTTGGCCGAGCTGCCCATAATTTGCTGCACTATACCCCCGGGTATAAGAAGTTCTCACAGCTCCCTCAACCTTTCGAGCCTTCACAGTGGTCAGAGCTCTTTGATCAGGCGGCGAGGTTAGAGGTCGAGCAGAACTTGGAGGAAGACCCGGATCGGGCTTCAGAGGGAGAGGTAGAAGGAGTTGCTGAGGTCGGGGCCAGAGAGGACGTTGCTCCTTCGGACGCCGAGGTGGGGACTTCGGGAGGCGACCTGTGGCCGGATTTTCAAATTCTCCAAACTTTGGACGCCGAAGACGCTCTCGAGGAAGCGATGTCCAACACCCCACGCATCAATTTGGGGTTTCTTAGGCAGAGGCAATCCCTCGCAGCCGGGAGAGGCCGAGGGGCGACCGGCGGTACTCCGGCAGGAACCAGTTCCGCCAATTCTTCGAGGGCTCCCGGTCAGGGTCAGGTGCGAGACCGGGATCCTCAGGTGGAAGAAGAGAGGAGGGTAAAGCATCGGCATGACGGCCTCAGCCGAGGACCCAGGGCATCTCCCGCTCAACCTCAAAGCGGGAGGGATCGTGGGTTACCGCCTGCTCCCCCACAACAGCAACAACAACAGCAGCCCCGACAACAGCTACAGCTGCAGCAGCAACAACAGCAACAGCAACAGCAGACCCCTCCTCCCGTTCCGCCTCGGGGGGAGGCCGCAGAGTGGAATCCTCGAGCCACTGATCACATGAACAGAGTGATCAGGGTCGATGATTCTATTCTGTCGGATCCTCATGTCGCAAATGCAGTGAGTGAGACACTGCATTTCGAGGCCGACATGGAGGCTCATAGGGGGCGATCAACCAACGTGTTGTTCCGCTCCATGATCCAGAATTCCCTGGTGGTGAGTTTATTCCTGTTTTGATCTCTTCACTCTCGTTTTCTATTTTTGTGTTTTTAACACTCTTTTCCTTCCTTTACAGGCTACCCAGCAGATTTCTATCATTGCTGGCCGGTACTACGCGTCCAGGATGGATCTTCAGAGGGCCAAGGATCAGAAGGCAGAAGCGGAAGCTGCCCTTGCTCGGGCAACGGAAGATGTTGCTGCCAGGGATTCCACCCTGGTGGGGCAGGCTGCCCAGATAGAGCAACTCCTCAAGGACGCTGAATCGGCCAAGTCGGGCGCTGAGAAGCTAAGTGCCGCACTTGCCGATGCTGAGAGGAGGATTACTGAGCAAACGCAGCGGCTCTCTGCGGCGGAGGAGAGG